GGAGTAGGGAATGGCATGCATTAGAAAGGCCGAGCTTCACCCAACCATGCGTGCCAGTGAAAAGGTGCGCCTGGCTTCGCCTCTGTGCGAGCCCATGGATGTCTCTATTGTAAGCGAAATCACTCAACACGAAGCAATATCTGAAGCACAACTTATATTGAGGCTTGTCAATTTTTGATACGCATACTCACGAATGCGTCTTGACAATCCCATGAGAGATGAGATGCAAAATGCAGCCTGTGCTTCATTTATACCAGCTCCGGGCGCAAGTGAGAAGGGCGCCGCCAGATCAAGCAAACTTGAGCTCCATTCTTATCCAGCCAGTATCAACCAATTCAGACTTAAAATCTCCAGGGAAGTTGAACCAGCAAATTTCGGGATCCTTTCTTTCAATTGATAAAGGTGAGGGACAAGAGGCTGGCAGGTAATGAAAAGCATCTCTGACTTCACCTCTGTTCTCTTTTTGTGAGAGGGCACAGTGAGATGGGTATTGGATCAGCCCACCCTGGCTTTCCCAGGCAGTAAGGATCAGGTGGAAGGGATTGCTGACAGACAGTGCAGCCAGTTGAACCAATATGGAGTTGAGGTATGAGAGGCTATAAAAGGGTCTTCCCTTCTCATTCAGCCTTCACTCTTCTCCAAATCATTTTCCTGCTTCAAATGTTCTCTCCCTACTCCGAATCTCTGAACATCTTCAGCATGGATAGACAAGGAACCGAGGACCGTCTGCCACTACCCAGTCAACTTTTGTCGTCCGGTGTGCTGCAATCCACTGTCCAAGCTTGTGAGATGCTGGATGACCTTTATCAGGAGGCGCTGTCTTATATCTCTGATAAGAGTAGTATGACATGTTCATCCCTCCCCCTCTTCATTATCTGGTTTGCTCCTCAAGGCAATCTTCTATTTCAATTTCTCATCTAAGACTGCAGCTTCTCTTAATGTCCCACCCAAGCAGCTGTCTGTTGACAGGATCTCAATTAACCAGTCTCAGCCTCCTGGTGAAATCAAACCTGACAACAGAAATAATATTTCGGATTCTGAGGCTACAACAGAACCTTTGGCTCATGAGAAGTTGAAGAATCTTCTCTATTGATATTGGGCGCAGCAGGTTGGAAAGAGTCTTAAGATCTGTCATGTTGAAAAAGTGTGGCAAAAAAATAAACATGTTCACCGTGTGCTTTATGTCGTGGAAACATATCTCCCGGACAATTGACTCCCCGAAAATGCGAGGCTCCAGCTGCGGAAGCAAGAGGAGAAACAAATAAGGGAGGAGGTGGAGAGGAAGAAGGAGGAGAAACAACAAAGGAAGGAGCTATGAAAGAACCGTCTGAGCACATTACGTCCTCGACCATCCACACGCAATTAATGGAAGATGGGGAATTCGCTTGTCAATCGTGTCAATCAAATTTATTTGATATGCACAGTCATTTATCCATCTGCCTTCTCTTGCATTCAGTCGACTCACCCTGTTACTCCATGTCTCTCAGTAAAATTCCCCCAGCTGCCTAGAACGCCCAATATGGCTTCCCCCTCAGGAGTCAGTGAAGTGGTGCTCCCCTATTGATACCTTGTAAAAGTTAGGGAATTCGGAAGAATGCTGATGAAGTCGAACCCTCAGGGAACGCCACAATCTTGCATGAAAAGGTAACAAAAAGGCAACAAAGATCAAGTCTCTTGGGGAATGCTATAATTTTGAGTGAAAAAGGTAAATTTGTGATGGCAGTAACATAACATCTGCCAGCATGAATCAATTTCTCCATTTGGTATAGAAAGCCTACCAGCGGCGTTCATTTAACCTCTCATAATGAAAGACGTACAGAAAGTAGATCGAACAGGTAAAGGAGATTTTTAGAGTACACGGAGTACACAAGTGCAAAGCTCAAAAAACGCACTTGCTGTTAATTCTTTTCACACTCTAACCCATAAGTAAATGAATATGCATCAGGAACCAATTTATGCCCCTTCAGTATGACTTCCATCCGTTCGGCCCAGCTTGAATTTGCCCAGCCAGTCCCAAATACAGAATAACTATAATAGTCACCGTGATGTGCAACATCACAAAAAAAGGTTCCTTTTTCCGATTGCGTAGAGGCCGAACATTCTGTTGGTTTAACGTTCAATGTTCTGCCCAAATCGGAATTGCGGAAGTCAGCATTGGCCCAGCCATTGCCATGTATAGAAAATTTATGAAAATCGTCCGGGTGTGGCGCGCGGCAAGGTCCCTCGGAATTTTCGAAATCGAGATTGATATAATACGCCATACTGTCTGTTTGAACCAGACTTTCACCCCTGAAGTTCTTTTGGGATACTCCTGATCGTTTGCGATGCAACCCATTTAGAGCCAAGTCACGTAGAAATTGCAGACAGTCATCAATGTCCATCAGGAAAGCAGATCTATCAACTGAGTGAACTCCAATTTTGATTCTTTTGTGTGGTATCTACATCG